CTGATTCATAAAGACACTTATGCAATGATTCTTCTCCATTGTCTTATCAGAGGGGAGGACTCCTTGGTCATTTAAATAAACCCAAAGTACTATAGCTGTAGGTGGGACCTGTCACTTTCTGTTCCAGTTGGAGTAACTGGTCTAGCAGGCTGAGGCAGCCTCTGTCTACAGGACAAGCATCAGAGAAACTCTCTTGTGGCCACTTGCTGGCTCAGCAGAGAAAGGCAGGGCAGGCTCTCAGCCAAAGCTCTGAGTTTGTCCACACAGCCGCTTTCCTTCAGGTGTGCTGGAAAGTTATCAGTCCCACATGGGGTGTACAGAAGGGCTGCATCCCATGCTAATCTGGGTCCCAGTCTCCTCACTACATAGGGTGAAGAGCATGTCAGAACATGCTAGTGGGACTGTTCCGGGCTGTTGTCAAGGGCAGCAGAAAGGAAGAGGCTGACCACACAGAAACTGAAGGAAGAGGGGAGAGACCAGGCAGCTGGGTGTTGAGCCAAGGTGCAGAGCTCTTCGTGGAGGGTGCAGGTGCAGAATGCTGAGTGGGTCAGCACGGGGTGGGGGGACGTGGGCACGGGAGCATGGGCAGGTTTAAGCAGCCAGGGTCCCAAGGCAGGAGCCTCCAGCAGCCAGAGCAGGTCGAGTAGTTTAAGTCCAGCAGCATCCAGGGTTGAGAGAGGGATGGGAAGATACTGACTGAGGCAGAATGCCTACCAGGGAGCCTGGGCAGGGACACTGGCCTCCAGGCCAAGGAGGAACCACTTTGTAATGCAACCTTGCAATTCACTGACCCTTATAGTCAGAAAGTAGTGGCTCTAGCCCCAGCACAAGCCCCAAAAGAAAAAAGGGCAACAATTAAAAATAACCCTTAAAGCTGGGCATGGTGGCCCACATCTGTAATCCCAGCCTGGGGGAGGCAGAGGTAGGCCTGTGACATTGAGGCCAACCTTGTCTGTGCAGTGACAAGTTAGCTGAGGCTACAGAGAGACCTGTCTCAAAAAGAGTTAAAAATAAAAATAAATAGATGGCTCGGCTCAGCAGTAAGAGCACTTGCTCTTGGCAGAGGACCCAGGTTCTGTTCCTAGCACACAGGGTGGCTCACAACTGCCTTTAACTCCAGTTCCAGGGAATCTGACACCCTTGTCTGGTCTCCATGGGCACCAGGCATACAGGTAGTACACTTACAAACATGTAGGCAAAACATTCATATAAATAAAATAAAAGCGCCGGGTGTGGTGGCCCACGCCTTTAATCCCAGCACTTGGGAGGCAGAGGCAGGTGGATCTCTGTGAGTTCAAGGCCAGCCTGGTCTACATAGAGAGTTCCAGGACAGCTGGAGCTACAGGGAGACCCTGTCTCAAAAAGACCAAAAAATAAAAATAAAATAAAATAAAATAAAAGCAGTAAAATTAAAAAGTACATGCATTTAACTACATTAAAATAATTTTTTAAAGTCTAGTTAATTTATAGGCTGAGGCAGGATGATTACCGTAAGTTTAAGGTCAACCTGGGTTAGAGTGAAATTCTTTCTCAAAGGGAAGGAGGGGCTAAAATAAGGTACACACACATACATTTGAATATTAAAATTTGTTTTAATTTATATAAACAGAAGGCAGTGCTCTATCTAAATAAAAGTTCGTCCGGGTCTTGCTGTGTAACACAGACTTCCTCCATGGGAGTCTGATGATCTGTACGCCAGCAGCTCTTCTCACATGTGTAAACAAGAACTGTTCCAAATTCTAAGCAAAGCCCTGAAAAACACAGCATATTTTGGATTCCAATAAAGACAAAGTTAGGAGATGCCCCCACAATGGTTAGTGAAGAAAGGAACATCACAAGTTCAAGGTCATCCTTGGCTTCCTAATGAGTTCAAGGTCAGCCTGGGCTATCTGAGACCCTGCCTCACACAACAGAAACAAGAGCCAGTTTTTCTGTTACTGCCATACCTACTGAGCTCCTTGGAATGTAATGAACTTATTCTCTCTCTCTCTCTTTTTTTAAACAACAAAGGCCAGGGAGATGGCTCAGTGGATAAAAGCACTTGTTACACAAGCCAGAGTTCCAATCTCCAGAACCATGTGAAAAGCTGGAAGTGGTGGTACAGGTCTGAAATCCTGGCACTCCTGTGGCAAGCCTGGAGGGGGAGACAGTTTGAGAATGCCCCTGGGCCAGCCAGCATGCAGGACCCAGAGCAGCAGCACACCAGAGACCCTGCCTCCAACAAGGTGGAAGGTGAGGAGCAACGGCTGAGGGTGTCCTTTGACCTTACAATTGCTGCGGCACGCACGCCTCACGCATAAACACATGCACATACAAACAAATTTAAGAAATGAGGAGCTGGAAAGGTGGCTCAGTGATGTAGTGATTAAGGGCACTTGTTGCTCTTCCAGAGGACTCAAGTTCAGCTCTCAGCTCTACATTAAGTCTACAACTGCAGCTCCAGGGGTGCAATGCCCTCTTTGGGATTCCATGAGTACCCCCACATACCTGTGATATATTAATACAGATGCATGCACATAAATAAATAAAATCTTTAAAAAGGAAAATGAGGGGCTAGAAAGATGGCTCAGCGGTTAAGAGCACTGACTGCTCTTGTAGAGGACCCGGGTTCAATTCCCAGCACCCACATGGTGGCTAAAAACCATATGTAACTCCAGTTCCAGGGGATCCAACACCCTCTTCTGA